GAGGCCAGCACCCAGGAGGCCTGGCAGCGCTGGGAGGGGCCGAGCCGCTTTCCGAGCCCGGCGCGTCCTGAGCGGAAGAGGGTCCTGCGAGGCCCAAGCGCTGTGATGGACTAAGACAGATAATAGGAAAGATGGTGTTAGACTAGGACGCACCCCACAGGCCTGGCTCACCTAGCCCATGGAAGAGTAGAGGAAACGCGGACGTGGTTACATTTCACACTCGCTGCCCTGCTTCTGTAAGGTGCTGAGTTACAACCTTTCCAGAAAACTCACTCTTACAGCGCTTCTCCCTCCCTCAGAAAACCCAGCCCCACCTTTTGCAAATTCTTCCCCAAGGTTTGGAAATCCCCTTGTGGTTTTTGGGCTTAAATGCTCTGCAAAGCTGTGGGTTGGGGCTGTTGTCCCAAAAAACGCTACCTGCCAGTGGCAGGGGGGGGGAAACCCCGGCCGGGGGGGGGGGGGTTGGGGTTGTTGCCCAAAAAACCCCCCCCTGCCAGTGGCAGGGGCGGCAAACCCTGGCCGGGATGGCAGTCTGGCCAGGAATAAAGGCTCGGGAACCAATTTCTCGGTGGTCTCGGTCCACAGCAGTGCTAACTGGCGGTGCGATGGACAAAGCCTTCAGGCAGAGCATGAGCAAACGTAGGTGAGCTGGGGATGAACCCGTTCAAGAAAGCTTGCCTAGCTTCTGGGGCAGTCAGTAGCCATAGGACAGCAGGGTTGGAAGCCACGTGTGGACCCTGGTTCAAGTCCCCTTGCCCCAGTAGGCTTGAAAACGTGCAATATGCCCAGGATTCTGGTGGGCTGCACGGCAGGTGTCTGGAGCCAGGACCCAGCCCTGTGGAAGGTGCTTCTCTGTCCCACTCTCATGTGCTCACATGCTGCATGCTGAACAGAAAGAGAAGGAAGTAAAGCTTGTAGGAGGGGCACATCAAAGAGGAAAGAAGAAAAAAGAAAAGCTTAATCCTTGTAGCAGGTGCATCCACTACAGCGAGCACCAACAATGTTTTTGATCAGAACCACTTTTTACCGCTAGCAGTAGCCAGATACTAACTAACCTACCATGTGTCCTGTAATCCAGGTACTGAGTATCACAAGAATAAGACCTTGAGGTTTCCACTGACACAGACCCTGCTTTGGAAGGCAAATCCATGTATGGGAAACTATGTATGAGAAATTTAAAGTGCTTCGTACCAGAATAAATCACACTTTAATTCCACGTTTCCAGATTTTTACCAAGTCTCCATACCAACCTATTCTTGTTCTGCTTAACCTGAAAATCTGTGGACATTGGACTCCCTGCGACCTCAAAGCTCGCTCAGTCGTGAGGCTTCCTCCATGGAGGACACTTAATCATGCACTTCTCATGTGAAAGGCTCGAGAAGTCCTGTCATGGAAAACAGCGATCCCACAGGACCATCTCGGGAAATTCCTGTAGCCCCGAGCTGACTTTGAGAGTAATGAAGGAGAGATGGAGCAGTCCGTCCGCAACGTGACCCCCCACACTCCCTGGTCTGAGTGGCTTTCCTAAAGTGCGTTTGCTTCTCAGTGAACGTCCCCTCTCCGAGGGTCTGAAGGAGGGGCCCGTCAGGCCGCCTTGTCGTTGTGGTGGTACCTCTGATGCTGGAAGAGCCCCGAGCGCTGCCGGAAGGCCTCTCCGCAGTGGGGGCATGCGTAGGGCTTCTCTTCCTTGTGAATGCGCACGTGCTGCGCGAGGTGCGAGTTCAGGCGGAAGGCTTTCTGGCACAGGTCGCACCTGAAGGGCTTCTCCCCGGTGTGGACCCTGTGGTGCCGGACAAGGTCCGAGGTCAGGGCGAAGGTTTTCCCGCACTCGCTGCACCGGTGGCTCCGGGAGGGCGGGTGGGCCCTCTGGCGGTGGGTGAGCAGCAGGGCCCGGCTGAAGGTCTGCCCGCAGTCCTGGCAGGTGCAGGGCTCCTCCTGGCTGTGTGTCCTCTGGTGTCGGTTCAGGTGGGAGCTGCGCCGGAAGCTCTTTCCGCAGAGGACGCACAGGTAGGGCCTCTCCCCGGTGTGGACGCGCAGGTGCTCCAGCAGCCCCGCGTTCTGGCTGAACACCTTGCCGCACTCCTGGCACCGATGTGGCTTCTCGCCAAGGTGGGTCTTCTGATGTCTGACGAGGTGGGAGCTCCTCTGGAAGGCTTTCCCACACTTCTGGCACGGGTGCGGCCTGCCCCTGGGGGGACGCCCCGGAGCGCCGGGGCTTTGGGGCGCTTCAGGTCCACGGAGCGCTTTATACGGCCGAGCGCGCTCCTGTCCACTCGGGACGGAGCCCTCCCCGCACCCGGAGGACGCGCGTTCGGCCTGTGCCTGTGCCTCTGCGGGCCGGGCCTGCTGCCTCTCCAGGTGCGGGTCGTCCTGCAGACCTTCCCCGGGGCTGGATCCTCTCCCAGGGCGTCCTCCTCGCCCACACAGGTCGGTCACTAGGAGCGTCCCATTCTCGGTCCTTGACTCGCCTGAAATGAACGCAGTCCGTCACTTGTGCTTCGGTGTTTAGGGTAAAAGTCCTGAGCGGAGGGGCTGACGGCTCGCCTCGTGTGCCAAGGCAAGTGCGGAGGTAGAGGGAACGATTCCCGGGGACCCGATGGCGATGTGCGTGGGCGAGGGCGAGGGCTGGGCGCGACTTCCCGTTCCCCACGGGGCTCCTGTGCACCCGGGACAGAGGGAGGGGAGGGGTGAAGAGACGGGGGTCGCTCGTGTGTGCCAGGGACAGGCAGGGGCGGGGAGCACCTTCTGGGAGAGAGAAAGGGAGAGGGAAGAGACGGTGTGTGTTCGCGCCGGGGGCAGGGGAGCGGGGAGAGCAGCTTCAGGGACTGAGGGAGGGTGAGTGAGAGACGGGCTCGTGTACACCAGGGACATACAGGCAGGGGAGGGAGGGAAAGCACCTTCTGGGGTTTGGCCATTCTGCAGTCCCTTTGCTCCCACTGTTCTGTGGGATCGTGGCAAATACATGTGCCTGGTGTGTTTTTTTCTTTTTTTTTGGAGTGGTTTTTGCTATAGGGCACATGCACTTGCCAGACAAGAGACAGAAAGCGAGAAATCACCCCCCGGGGGGATGGCCACACCGCAATCCCTTCTCCGTTCTCCTCTCGGGATCTTGGGCACGCACGCACGCACACGCGCCTGGTGTGAGTTTAAGCCACCGGGTCCGGGACTCGAACCGTGGTTGACTACGTGGGAGTCCAGCGACATAGCCATTTACGCCAACTGCTGGTCCCTGCTTGCTGTGGTTTTCAAGCCCCAGAACTCAAAACCAGGTGGTGGCATGTGGGATCCAGCTGCCTTAACCCCCGCACCATCTGCCAGCCTGGGAGGCAGCTTACTGTAAAAGGGTTAGGGCTTGTCATGACACGCCAGAGACGCCACAAACAAGCCACCTTCTGTCTTAAAGGGCGTGGCTGTGTATTCTTGAAGATAATCATCACATGAAAAAAAGGTGAGGCCAGATGAGGACTGTGGGGCCAGTGGGAAAGGGAGAGCACCCCAAAGGAGATGGGGGACATGGACATGCCATAGCAGCTGCAGAATTGTAGAAAGATTTGAGAAATCTGGGCTCAGAGTCCTCACCAGTAAGTCCAAATTTGGAGCCCTCAAACCTTCAGGATAACATCAAGTCCACGAAAATGCCTCAGCCACGGTGATGCTGGCAAGACACTGCTGCTCTGTGGCCAAGGCCACAAGGCTGTTTGACCCTGACCCCTGAAGAGTGGGCAGGGGCATGTTCCTGTGAGACCACAGGGCACCCACGAGACCTGCCATGAGCCGCGCCAGGGGACGTGACACCCTGTGGGCTGACCCCCAGGGAGGGTTCCAGGCTTGCATCGAGACCTCCCCGAAGCACGGTCACACCCACGATCCAGGGCTGGGTCAACGTGTCAAGACCCTGCTGGGGGAGCTCGCCCTCACACACTCTCTCATTCATAGAAGGACGGGGGTTAGGCCATGTGCTTTCCCGAGCTCCTACGGCAACAGCTGCTGTCCTGCGTAGCTGACAGAACTTTGGTCTGAGGCCCGCTCGTCTTTCCTGACTCTGCCCCCAGGGCCGGGGCTGTGTGTACAAGCTGAGCAGACTTCTCCGGTGCAGGGCCTGGTCCCAGGGAACGTGAACGGAGATGAAAAACCTAAGCTCAGATCCACAGAAAGAAGGGTCAGAAGGTGCAAGCACTTGCTGGAGAGGAAGAGAGAGGGAAAGATAGAAAGCCCCCCCCCAGGGAATGGCCATGCCCCAACCCCTTCTCCACTCTCCTCTCGGGACTTGAAGCACGCACGCACATATGCCCAGTGTGTTTTCAACCACGCAGTCGGCCATGTGGGACACGGCACCTTAACCTCCACGTCACCGGCTGGCCCTGGGCAGTCTCTTGCGGCCAGGAGCATGCCCAGGCAGGTTGGAACAGGAGCGTGGGTGAAGTCGGGCTGGCAGGAGGCTCTCCGCAGCACTAAGCCAAGGAACGAGTGTGGACAAAGGGGCAGGCCGTGAGGAAGGGCAGGGTGGATAGAACTGGAAGTGAAAGCGGGGGGGTCCCAGGAGAGCTGAGCAGTGCGGCCACGCGTGGGGACAGAGGCTGAGGGCGAGCCACGCACGATGCAGAGGGCTCTAGCAACAGGGCGAGGTCGCCAAGTCCGGCGCAGCGTAGAGTCTTTTCCAGTAACGACGACCAAGACAGAGGGCCTGAAGCCCCGAACAACTTCGACTCTGAATGTAACATTTTCTTTCTTTAAGAATTACTTGATTTTATTTATTATTATTATTTTTAAATTTGACCAGAAAGAGAGAAAAGGAAAGAGAGAAGCCGCCAGGTCCAGGACTCGAACTGTAGTTGGCCATGTGGAGTCCAGTGCCTTAACCATCACGCCACCTGCGGGCCCTGAATGTAACATCTTCAACAGATCCAGAGGGCAAGGGGCATTTTCCAGATTCTGCCTGCTGCTGGCGTCTTTTATGGGTGAGTTACCCTCAGGCTGGCAGGCAGGCCCCTTCCCTTTGGTGTCCCGGTGCCTCAGAACCACCTCAGGAGCAGACCCAGGGCAGCCCCACAGACTGACTCACCCGGGCCCGCTGGAGGCTGAGCACAGGGTGGACTCAGGACAGCCCCTGCTCTCCTGGCTGGCAGGAGTAACAAGGAGCCAGAGGTCCGTGGCTCGGCTCCACGACCAGAATGTAGCACTCTCCTGGCCCAGGAGAGCCTGCGGACTGCCAGGGCACCAGGGAGACAGTGTCTAGACAGGGCTGAAGGGTGAGGGGAATCTACTGGGGAGAGTGAGCAAAAACTGCTCCAGACAGGGGGAGCAGGCCGTGGAGACGTAGGAGAGAGAAGGCAAGAGTCCAGGGAGGTCAGACGAGTGTGGCCTGGTGGGACATGAAGTGTGAGCAGCTGCCAGCTGGTCTGGGACTGAGGGACCCCGGGTCTCGAGGACACTGGGCCAGATGCCCTGCTGCTGACCGTGAGGCTGAGGACAGATGGGCTGGAACAAGCCCCTGTCAACAGCCGAGGAGTCTCTGATGGGGGTTTACCTTTTACGTATTACGACAGAGTAGAACAGACCCAGCTCAGCGCAGGGCTCTGAGAGGAGATGGGCGTTAATGAACTTGTCTACGTGACGGGACTGAGCAGGAGGTAACAGCTTCTGGGACACCGAAGGAAAGAACAGAGGGGCACAGAGACTGCCTGAGACTGTGGGGTCGTCGGGAAAGTCATGGCATAGTTTTCTGGAGTTTTTTGTTTTTTTTTTTTCCTCTTTTTTCTTTTTTTTTTTTGAGGTTTTTGCTCTAGGGCACGTGTGCTCGCCAGACAGAGACAGAGAGACAGAAAGCAAGAAATCACTCCCCAGGGGGGATGGCCATTCTCCTCCATTCTCCTCTCAGGATCTTGGGCACGCACGCACACGCGCCCGGCATGAGTTTTAAGCCACCGGGTCCAGGACGCGAACCGCGGTCGACTACGTGGGAGTCCAGCAACATAGCCATTACGCTAACTGCTGGTCCCAGTTTTCTGTTTTTCTATGCAAAAATGTGTCATGACTTTCCCGACGACCCAGCAAAAACAAGGGAAGACTGCAAGGAGGAGACTGGGGGGCTAGGTCTGCCGAGACCCAAGAGGAGCCAGGTCCCCCAGTGCGTGTGCTTCGAGCTCTGGCCAGGTCAGCCTGAAACACACCTGGCACACGAGCACCCAGATCTGACAGCCTGGGCCCGGAGGAGGGGACCGCAGTGGGACAGCCCCGGTGGGGTCTCTCACATGTGAACACACGATATCACGAATACAATTTTTTTAAAAAATGGGGCTGTCCTCTGTGGTCTAGTGGTTCAGGAGCCAGATGCCCCATGGTCGACCACAGTTCAAGCCCTAACGGCTTGGAAAATGAGCTGGGCTCATGTATGTGTGTGCCCCAAATCCCAATGAGTGGAACAGTGGAGAGAAAGGGGCTGCAGTGTGACCAGACTCCCCTGGGGGGTACTTTTGCTCTCTGCTAAGTGTGCACACCCTCCCTCTAGAAATTAGAAACACAAAGAAGGGACCAACAGGTGGCGTGGTGTTTAGGGTGCTGGACACTCCCACGTGGCTGACCATGGTTTGAGTCGACCTGGTGGCTTGCTTTTTCACTATCCCTCTCTCTGTGTGTTTCTTTCTCTGGTCAAATGAAAATAAATGGATGAATTTTTTTTTTAATTCCTAAAAAACACACACACAAATAAAAGAGAAATTAGGGGGAAAAGAGGGAATTCAGGACAACATAAAACAAACAAACAAAGCGGGGTGACCACGCAGCCTGCCCTCCATGAGAAGCCAGCCCTGCTCTTCCCTCACCACTCCCAGGGAGGCCAGACGAGGTCGGGGTCCCTTGTCCTTCTCCTGGGTGTTCTGTTCAACAGCAGCGTTTGGGGTGACCTTCTGCACCATGACCATGGTGCCGACTTAAGACTGCACGTACTCACGCTTGTGCAGACTTGGCATGGACACTCAGAGTGAGTGTGACTGTTTGTCAGTCACCCCTCAGTAAACCTCCCTCAGAACACCCACGGGCCCGAGTGGGCCTGGAGGCAACCGGGCCCACCCACAGGCAGCAGCCCGGCAGCTCTCACCCTTCTCTTCCCCAGGCCTGGGCCCTCTGCACTCAGGCTGCACCGGCGGCTCCCACACTGCTCCGGGCCTGGCAGTGGCCTCCACGCACGATGTCTGTTCCACAGCTAGGCCTGGGCCCTGGAGGAAGTACACGTGGGCTCAGGGAACTGCCATGCTGAGAAACACCCCATGTCAGAAAGAGGAGACAGTGCAGGGGGGCAGAGAAAGGGGACGGGCCCTGAACACAGACTCCTCCCGGCAGGGACAGTAAGCTCCAGTGCAGACGACCCACAGAATCTATCTCGGACTGGAAGGGAGCGAAACCGAGCCTGCATGTCCCCCCACCTGGGTCCGGTTTCTGCCAAAGCAGAACTGACCTTTCCCACTCGCAGGTGCATCTCTGCAGATGCCCGCTGCAGACCCTCCAGGGCCAGGACCAGGTCCTCCCCGCTCTCGGGGCGCCGCTCGCGCACCCAGGCGCGTAGCTCCCCGGGCAGGATGCTCAGGAACTGCTCCAGCACCAGCAGCTCCAGGATCTGCTCCTTGCTGTGGGCCTCGGGCCGCAGCCATCGTCTGCAGAGCTCCCCCCGCCCCCGTGTGCAGAGCGGGCGGGGCGGGGCCAGCGCCTCGCGGGGCCCCGGGGTCTCCTCGTACCGCAGCTGCCGGAACTGTTTGCGCAGCGGCTCAAGCCCGAGGCCCCCGCCACCTCCAGGCAGTGGGCGCTCCAGCTCCCAGATGGGGCGGGGGGCCTCCTTCCACAGATTCAGGGGCACCAGGGAGGGAGCAGCCGGCAGTGCTGTGGCCATGGCCGCTCGGCCTGGCTGTTTGTGAGAGCTTCCTTTTGACGGAACCTTGGCGTGTTCCTAAAACACAGTAACAGCAATCACAGACACGGAACCGCAGGGCCAGCCCTCCGGAGCTCCTCTGCCTCCTGCTGACCGTCCACCCCACCATTCCTGAGTTCACCTACAAGACAGAAGAGCCCCAGTCGCAGTCGGAGTGATGGGTGTTGGGGGATCTGCACCCCAGGGTAACCGGCTCAGTCAAGGCTGTACCTGGCAGCTCAGGGCACTGGGTGAAACAGCTGGGGACACAGGGCGTGGCCGATCTCAGGGCCCCGGGCAGGCTGATGTGAACTGCCATGGCACATGGGAGACGCAGGTTGTCACCGGCAGGACCAGGGACAGCACACGCCCCCCACATCCGGCAGCACCCGTCCACAGTGCCGCAGACACTCAGATAACCGGTAAGCCACGGCATGAGCTCGCCCCAAGCTTCACGAGAACAGACAGGTGGGGAGGTGACTGCTCTGGACTGGGCAGACAGAACCAGATGTGATGTGTGACATCCAGCTCTTAGGGAAGGGACACTGGAAACGGCTTTAGAAGAATTCAGAAGCCAGCACACGAATGCGCTATCGGGACAGGGAGGGTGAGCCACCGCTCTGCAGACCTGACCTGGCGCCACTCCCCTGCGCCCAGGGCCTGGACGGTCCGCACACCTGTCTGTGCTGGGAAGGCAGAGCTGAGCAGGCCACAGGACTGACTGCTCTTAGAGCTGGATACACCTGGCCCTTTATGGGAAAAGGCTACTTTTGGGGACCAGCAGTTGGCGTAATGGCTATGTCGCTGGCCCCCCATGTAGTCAACCACAGCTTGAGTCCCGGACCTGGTGACTTAAACTCATGCCGGGCACGTGTATGTGCGTGCCCACGATCCCGAGAGAATGGAGGAAAAGGGATTGTGGCACACGGCCATCTTCCCTTGGGAGTGATTTCTTGCTTTTTGTCTCTGTCTTTCTGTTGAGTGCAAGCACCCTATAGCAAAAACCTCTCAAAAAATCAATCAAACAAACAAACAAAAGGCTTTTTTATTTGGCTAGAGATAGAGAAAGGGAGAGGAAGGTCCCGTGGGCTGAGGTCAGGCTGCAGTCTCTTCGACCTTCCTTCTTTGGGGAGTTTGAGCACACAGAACATGGGGCTGGTGTGTTTCTCAAACTGCTGGGTCCAGGACCTGCAGTGCAAGGTTGGCCATGCGAGACTGGCTGCCTTAGCCCCAGACCGCAGAGCCAGTCCAGTTACCAACTTCTGAGCTCCTGAAAGTTCTGGTACAGAACTTTCTCTAAAATGAATACTCTTATCCTCGGAAGATGCACACTAAAACTTACTTTCAAGTATTTGTGGGGGAAAGCGTGTGG